CCAGGTGGACCGTCCTCCCTGGGTCCTGCGCCTACCCATGTCGCCGCTGCGTGCTCGTGTCGGTCGCTCACTCACCCGTCGCTTCTGTAGCACCGCCGCCTTGGTCACCCCGCACTCCCGCGTCTGCGTCACATGTCCCAGCACGGTCTCGTCCTAGGTCTCCCTGCGTCGCTTCCTGCCCTCCCTCCCTCGCCTGCGCCGTCGTGCACGCCCTGCGTCGAGGGCCGGCTGCGCCGTGCTCCTCACTCCTCCTCGCTTCGTCCTACCACCGCACCCCTCCAGTCCTTGCACCTGGTCGTCTGGGGCCCAGTCCCCGTCCCTGGACCGCGACGCGAGCGCTACTTTCTAGTGCTCGAGGACAACTACACGCACTACGCCACGGTGTTTCCTTTGGAGCGGAAGGCCGACGTGCCTGACATTCTTATCCCGTGGGTCGTCGCTCCGAGCCTCCACCGTGGTATCCCTGTGCTGTGTCTCCACTCCGACCGTGGCGGCGAGTTCACCTCTGGTCAGCTTGGACAGTTCTGTCGTGCGGACGGCATCACCCAGTTGTACACCCTACCAGACTCCCCACAGCAGAATGAGCTCGCTGAGCAATGCATCGGTTTGGTCATGGAGGTGGCTCGTACCTCCATGATTCATGCCAGTGCACCCCATTTTATGTGGGCGTTCACCGTTTGCTACGTCGCTCACCAGCTTAACCTCTAGCCGCACCCTCAGCGGTCGCAGGTTTCGCCGACCCTCCTCTGGACCGGGTTTCCTGGTGACGCGTCGCAAGCGCAAGTGCAAGTGACGAGATCTGTAGGCCAAGGTAGCGGCGCAGCTCTCCTAGGTCAGTACAGGTGTGTCTCCTCAGCAGCTCGACCTTCACGGAGGCCAGCGCGTCTCTGTCTGCAGTAGCAAAGACCAGGTCGTCTACGTAGACAAGGATGTAGAACGGAGTCTGACCAGCACGACCAAAGAGCGAAGGGTCCGCAGTGGACGGAAAGAATTGCAGGTCATCAAGTCTAGCATGCAGCGTGTCATGCCACTGACGGGGCGCCTGACGCAGGCCATAGACCGGGCACCGGAGGAGCCACTGGGTCCCAGGAGGGAAGGTACCGATGAAGCCCTGCGGTCGGCACAGGTAGACCTGCCCGTATAGGCTACCCGAAGAAATATGATGGAGAAGTCGAGGGAGTGGAGCTTGTAGTCACGCTGAGCTGCTACGTGTAGCAGCGCCCGAAGAGTAGTCATCTTCGAGGTCAGGGCGAAGGTCTGAAAGAAGTCCACCCCCTCTCGCTTACTGAAGCCTCTAGCCACGTAGCATGCCTTGAAGACAGGTGGCTCTCCAGGGGGGCGCTTCACCTTGAAGAGCCACCGGCCATCGACTACGTTCACCCCAGGTGGGGGAACTGCGTCGACGTAGGTGCCGGTGGATCTCCAAGATGCCATCTCCTGCTCCATGGCAGCTATCCACTGTGAGGCCCAGGGTCCAGAGGTGGCCTCAGCGTAAGTGCGAAGGATCGGGATGTCAAAGGCGTCTGGGTCACCCTCAGAGACTAGCAGCATGGAACAGAGATGGGGAGCAGCCTCGGACAGGACAGCAAGCTCGTACTGCCTGTCCTCTAGGACGTCATTGCCAAGGGCAACAGCACCCCTGATGGACGGAGGACAGACAGGGCCAGAGACCATAGCGGTGGCGTAGTCAAGGCGGCGGATAGAGGCGAAGTCAGCTATAGCAACGACAAAAGCGGCAAGACTGGAGACAGGAACAAACGGGTCGGTAACGAGGGAGGCAAGGACCCGAGGAACAAGAGGACGAGCGGCACGAAGGTAGTCGGACAGAGGGGGAGGCGCGACAGCGAGTGACGACGGAGGAGGCGAAGGCAGGAGGGGAGGACGAGACGCGTGGGAACGAAGCAATATAGGGTGAGAATGCTGAACAGGAGAGACAGGACGAGCACGACAGGGACGAAGAGACCAGACGAGCCAAGGGGGGAACCTAGGAAGACATAGGGGACAGTGCGGGCAGTGAGTTTGTCCGTGCGAGAGGCACGAACGTGAGCAAGGAAGCCCCAGACGTGGAACATAGACGCGTTACCAGGGAACCTGGTCCAAAGTAGGGTCAGCGAAACCTGCGGCCGCTGGTGAGCAACGTAGCAAACGGCGAACGGCCACAGAAAATGGGGTGCACCGGCATGAATCATGGAGGTACGAGCCACCTCCATGACCAAGCCGAGGCGTCGCTCAGCAACCCCATTCTGTTGCGGGGAGTCTGGTAGGGTGTACGACTGGGTGATGCCCTCCACACGACAGAACTGTCCAAGCCGACCAGAGGCGAACTCGCCGCCACGGTCAGAGTGGAGACACAACACAGGGAGACAGCGGTAGAGGCGAGCAGCTACGACCCACGGGATAAGAGCGTCGGGCACGTCGGCCTTCCGCTCCAAGGGAAACACCGTGGTGTAGCGCGTGTAGTCGTCGACGAGTACTAGAAAGTAGCGCTTGCGACGCAGTCCAGGGATGGGAGCTGGGCCCCAGACGTCCAGGTGCAAGGTCTGGAGGGGTGCGGTGGCAGGACGAAACGAGGAGTTCGGAGCATGGCACAGCCGGCCCTCAACACAAGGCGTGCACGGCGGCGCAGGCAAGGGAGGGAGGGCAGGAAGCAATGAAGGGATACCTAGGACGAGACCGTGCTGGGACATGTGACGCAGATGCGGGAGTGCAGGGTGACCTAGGCGGTGGTGCCTCAGAAGCGACGGGTGATTGAGCGACCGACACGAGCACGCAGCGGCGACATGGGTAGACGCAGGTCCCAGGGAGGACGCCCCACCTGGGGGGGAAGTAGTGTCCAGCGTAATGAGGCCAGACACCGGCTCCCGGGGGAACGTCGCAAGGGGGGAACCTGAGGCGGCCTCGGTACAGACGGCATACCGCTCGTGACCCGGGAACGTAGTGGTGACGCCGAGGTTCCGAAGACAGCCGACACCAACTAAGTTCCGGGAGAACGAGGGGATGTGAAGGCCGGTAAGGGAACCCGAGGGAACCGCTTCACAAGGAAGTGTAGTGTAGTTGCGAGCAACTACAGGACCAGAGGAGGGGTCAGCAAGTGCGATAGCGGCAGGCGCGGCAAGCGGCGTAAGCGCAGCGTGTTCTTGTAAGAAGCAGGCAGATGCACCGGAGTCAAGTGTGAAGGGCAGCGAAGCGGTAGCGGCGGACAAAGGAGGAGCAAGTGTAGAGCCTAGGCTAGACAAAGCAGACAGTCCTACGCCTGACGCAGCAGGGGTAACAGTACTACACACAGGTGCTACGCCTAAGCTAGAGAACACAGGGTAATAAGTTTCGGACACACTAGAAGCGTCAGCATACAGAGAATGCAGGGCAGAACTAATCTGATCCATGTCTAAGTCAAAAACAGGCACATCGTGGCGTCGCAGACTGGGCCAGTCAGGGAGGTCCAGGGCCGGGCCGAAGCGGCGACGGAAGAGGTCGTCGAGGAGGCGGAAGCAGTAGGCGATCGGGTGCGGGCGGCAGCACATAGTGCCACGGAGGTGCCCAGTCTGGAGCTGGTACTGGCAGCCCACATCACCGAAGCCGCCGGTAGACGCCGAGCTGCGAGGACCACCACCTCGTCCACCATCTCCAGGGACTCCTGGCCACCCCGGCGGGAGGCGGGCCCACAGCTGCTGCTGTTGCGACTATTGCTGCTGCGTATGCTGCGGCTGCTGCTGCTCCTTGACACCTGCCCCAGCCCCCTCGTCAGAACCACCTTCGCCACCACCACCACCACCACCACGCCCTCCCTTGGAGCCGCGACAGCCCCGACGCTGTCGCTGCTGCTGCGGGAAGGCTGCCGCTGCGGTAGGACTCTCCGGAACCGAGACTGGGCGGAAGGCCGAGGAGGGCGCAAGTGGGCCGGTGGGCGCGTGAGGAGCCAGCGGACGCGCAAGGGGCCGAGGCGCATGAGGGGGCCGGGCAGGTGCGGGAAGGGCCGGCGCTTAGAGAGGGGCTGGCAAGGCTCGTAGGGCCGGCCGTGCGCAGGTGGGGTCGGCTAGGCGGTAGGGGCCGGCTAGGCGCGAGGGGCCAGCTGGGTGAGAGGGGTCGGCTAGGCGTGAGGGGTCGACTAGGCGAGAGGGGCCGGCTAGGCACGAGGGGGGGGGTTGGGGGGGGGCGGCTGGGCGCGAAGTGGCCGGCTACGGCGCGAGATGGGCCGGCGAAGCGCGAGGGGCCGGCTAGGCGCGAGGGACCGGCCGCGGCGCGAGAGGGGCCGGCTAAGCGCGAGGGGCCGGCTAGGCGCGAGGGGCCGGCTAGGGCGCGAGGGGCCGGCTACGGCGCGAGGGGCCGGCTACGGCGCGAGAGGGGCCGGCTGGGCGCGAAGGGGCCGGCTAGGCGCGAGAGGTCGGCTACGGCGCGAGAGGGGCCGGTTGGGCGCGAAGGGGTCGGCTAGGCGCGAGGGGCTGATTAGGCGCGAGGGGCCGACTAGGCAATAGAGGGGCCGGCTGGGCGCGAAGGGGGCCGGCTAGGCGCGAGGGGCCAGCTACGGTGGGAGAGGGGCCGGCTGGGCGCAAGGGGCCAGCTACAGCGCGAGAGGGGCCGGCTAAGTGCGAGGGGCCGGCTATGGCGCGAGGGGCTGGCTACGGCGGGAGAGGGGCCGACTAGGCGCGGAGGGGCCGGCTGGGCGCGAAGGGGCCGGCCAGGCGCGAGGGGCCGACTAGGCAGGAGAGGGGCCGGCTGGGCGCGTGAGGCCGGCGGACGCTCTAGGGGCCGGTGAGGTGCAGTAGACTAGGGCGCGAGGCGGAAGCGGGTGGGGGGGGACCTAACCTACTCATGATACCATGTTAGAATACTAGAAAGAATTAGAAAGAAGAGAGAACAAGGGAGATATAGGGTTTGGATTGTACTCTCTAAGAACACACACCTATTCTAGCCTATAACTTCTACGTGCAAATGTATGTATAAGTTGACAGTTGCTACATCTCTTAGCAGCAGACGAAACAGCACATTGCAATTTAGAAGATGCGAGTTGGTTTGATGCGGTTGAGCGTGGTGGAACACGAATCTGAGAAGACCGCCTGATACAGGGGTCCTACGAACAAGCTCTAACCTGAAGCATGTCTAAGCTTCGTGAGAACCAACAACACACCTATGCTCCAGTCTTGTCTCTCTTGATACAAGTCAAACATTGTATTGACAGGGCCCCCGTGACCTCTTACCTATCCAAAACAGCTCTGACTTATGTAACTACTAAAGCAAAGCAGGCAGGTTGTCACATGTCGCTAGGGGAGCGTGGGCGCATGGCCACTTGTATACCACCAAGACTGTCCTCGCATATCACCATATGCTGCATCGGATCGGATCCTGGAGGGAGTTTAGCCCAGGTAAAACCAGCCATACCAGCATCCTCAGCAGCAGCATCACCAGCAGCAGCAGCAGCAGCAGCAGCAGCATCTCCAGCAGCAGCAGCAGCAACTCCCAACACAAGATTATTCGATCTTGAATCATCTAGAACCTTCTGAGCACGAGCAGACGGGGTTCCAAAGCCATATTCTGCAAAGCCATCTGCTGAGGCAGCAGCAGCAGCAGCATGAGAGGCAGAGCCAGACGCAGCCGCAACAGCAGCGAACAGGTCAACCCCCACCCCTAATTGCTGGTCCGGCGACAGAACCAGATGCTGGGAGGAGCTCCTCAGCTGGTTACGACCAGGGGAGGCTGTATTTGCAGAGGGGGCGGATTCAGGGGCGGTTCTGCTTGTGGGGAAGGCGGTCTGACCATGAGTCATGTCCCGCGTCCCTCCCACGAAGATATTACTCGTGTCCTCGTCAGCCACCAGCACCACAGCTGCTGATGCGGAACGGCTCTTGCTGATGTGGCGGGCCGGCAAGCCACTCACAGGGCTCGGCGACGCCTCTGATCTCGGTGGGAACACCCCGTCGCCTCGGCCCAATGCCTCACCAGCGACAAAAATGTCGCTCTTAGCCTGGTTCTGTGTCTGGTGTTGTGTCTGATTGTGTGCCTGGCTGATGAGCTGGGCTTGCGCCAGGAGAATGTCCTGCGCTAGCAGAGAGCTCTTGCTCTCCCTTTGGAACCCGCTCTCAGTGTGGTGGTCCTGATGGGGGTTTGAGGGGTGCGGATCACGCGGGTTGCTCTGGAAATTCAAGTGTTGCGAGTTGAACTGATGCGCGCTCAAATCCAGGTCTGTCACGAGCTGCATGTGATCATGAGTGAAGGACTCTAGTGTGCTCCATGGCAGCTCCACCCCCGCCTCCTCCCCTTGGTTTCCCCCGTCCCCCTCCTGCTGCTGCTGCCCTGCTAGTTCCTCCAACTGCTCCTGCATCAGCCCCCAGTCGTCCGGAATCAGTGACTGCCATGGCTGTAGCCCATGCCGCTGCTCTTGAGGCTCTTCTGCCTCCGCTCCCTCCCCCTCCCCCTCCCCCCGTTCCCCACCTCCAGCATTTCGCTCTTCCATCTGCTCCTGCTTTAGCTGCTGCTGCGCCTGCGCTATCAGCTCCTGCATCCCTATCTGCTGCCCCTGCCCCTGCCCCTGCCCCTGCTCCAGTCCCAGTCCCTGTCCCTGTCCCTGCCCCTGCTGCTCCCCCTGCTGCTGCTGTTGCTGCCACTGTTGTGCAAAATCGTCATTCAAAAACGCCTGCGCCAGGGCACCATACCCCCCAGTATCCACTCCCTGACCTGCCCCTGCGCTTATCATGAAATCGCCGCCCGCAGCCACAGCGGACGAGGCGAAGCGAGGGGAGAAGAGGGACGGGCTGGCGGACGCGGACGCGGACGAGTGGCTGTGCGCGGACCGGGGGGAGATGGGCGGGGGGGAGGACGTGAGGTGGGAGGTATGGGAGGAGGAGGTGAGGTTGCGCGTGAAGAGGGTGTTGAGAGCATTGCCCAGCTTGCGCGCCATGCCCTCGTCCATTCCAAGTCCTCCCGCCAGCGCTTGAGGGTTATTCGGCTGAGCGAACCCGGGGTTATTCGGGGTGACGAACCCGGAGTGAGGGGGCGTGACGAAACCGGACTGAGGGGGGGTGACGAAACCCGAGTGAGGGGGAGTGACGAAACCGGAGTGCGGGAGGGTGACTAGCCCCCCGGAGGGGCGCGGGGAAGCAGCGCGGGTGCTGCTGGGGGAGGTGTGATTTGGGGAGAGAGAGGCCATCTGGAGCATGGCTATGGCTTCTGCTAGCGATGGCGGCGGGGGTGCCGAGTGCATGAGAGGGGGGGAGGGGCTGGAAGTGCCCTCAGTGACGCTCCGGGGTAAGCCTGGGCGGGATATGGGGAAGTCGTGGGCGGACGCGGGGGGGGAGGGGAAGGCGGTCGGGGAGAGGGGGAAGTCTTGCGAGGAGGCGGGGGGGGAGGCGAAGGAGGGGGAGTGCGAGGTGGTAGCTTGGCAATGCAGGGTGGAGAGAGCAGCGAGGGTGGCGGCATGAGAGGAGAATATGGACAGGTTGGCGTTTGCTGCTGTGGGGGAACCGGGGAGAGGGGAGAGGTAGGGGGACTTGGGGGAGGGGATGGGGGAGAGCGGGCGGGGGGGAGTGAAGTGGGGGGAGGAGTACGGGGTGACCCCGGAGGGGGAGAGGGAGGTGGGGGAGGAGGAGAAGAAGGGCGAGGTGCAGACTGGTTGATCCGATGGGGTCCACCGAGGGAGCACAGAAGAAGGGGGCGTTTCGTATTGGAATGAGTGCAGCAGCTCCTCTTGCATCGAGAAATCGAAGCTGCCTGACGCCTTCGCCAGGGATCCCTTTTGCGGCGGTCCCGCGCCAACCTCTCTCTGCCCCCCGCCCTCTCTCCCTCCGCCTCCCCCTCCTCCCCCGACTCCTCCTCCTCCCCCTGCCCCCCCCAACCCCATCATGGCATCCGCGCCTAGCCCACCCCCACTAATTCCCCCTATACCGCTGCCTGCAAGCGCATCAGACACTTGAATAGGGAGCGACAATAATTGCCCAGCGAAGGCTATTTGAGAATCGGAACCGGGACCGGAGGGCGAGGAGAAGGCCGCTGGATCCGCCATAAGCGACGTGGGCGGGTTGTGGCCAGCAGAACCAAGACCAAGGGACGCGGCAACGGCGGCGGCTGCTGCTGCTGCTGCTCCTGCCTGTCCTCCCGCCACTCGCCGCTGCCACAGGGAACCCAAAGCGGTGTTTCCGTTGCCCCCGGCGATGCTGCTGACCGCATTACCATCGCCTCCCCCGCGGTTGCTGCTTCCGCCAACCATGCTGCTGAGCTGTCCGCCAATCTCCTGCCTCCCCAGATTCTGCAGCAACTTGCTGACCTGGAGCCCGCTGACGTGGCTGCTGCTGCCGCCGCTGCTCCTCTGCTGGTGCACCCGGTTACCAGCCTTGCGAATCGCTTCGTCCAGTGTCTGTCGTAGCGCGGAATAATCATTACCATCGCCGGCCGTTAGCATGCGCAGCGCGTCAAAATCGCCGTCACTGCCGCCGCCAACCACGCCGTTTTGCAAAGACGCATCTGCATCATAACTTTCCATCTTAACGCTGCCCATAGCCTCGCCTCGCCTGTTCCCATCGCTGCTGCTACACCCGAGGGTAAACTGCGCTTCGGATGACCCAGGCTGTAGCAAGATCTCGGCGCTGAGGCTGCCGCCCTGCTGACGCGAACCGGGGCTGTTGCTGGGGGCGCGGAGGTTCGGGCGGTGGTTGTGATCGTTGATGTACTCGATATTGAGCGGCGCCTTGCAATCGGACTTGCTCATGTTGACGATGCGCTTAGCGGGGCAGCGGACGTCCGTGTTTCGGAGCATGCAGTGGAAGTAGTGCCTGGGGGGCGGATGGAAGGAGCGCACGGGAGTGGAGCGCAGACGGAAGGAAACAATGGGAGTGGAGAATGTGGGAGAATGGGTGAAATACGGTTTCGAGGAGAGCGAAGGCGGAGCCGTTTCCACAAGATGACTTTGCGATGGGTCCACAAGGTGAAGCCGTTTCCACTGGTTCTTACATTCCGATAAATGGAAAGCCGTTTCATTTATGGAACTTGTCATCTTGCCTGAAGCATTCGCACGTCGTTAAATCACACCCGTACCTCATGTGTAGCCCGCCGGAGAGCTGCTTTTGTCCGTATTTGACCCAGTTGTAGCCGTCGCGCGGCAGCAGGTGCTTGTACGGGAATGGCTGCTTCCGCCGCGGCCGTCTGAGTGCAGACAGTGGAGGAGGGGAGTGGGGAGACGAGCATTCAGAAAATGAGCGGCGAGGGGGATAGAGAGCAGAAAAGAATCCACAGGGGAGGCGTATCGCGGGAGACGAGAGGATTCACAGGATGAGAGATGCGCGTTCACGCGTGACGAATAGGCATTTGCGGTGAGAAAACATCCTTCGGAATAAGCATTTGAGCGCATTCGGGATACGGGATAAGCATTCGGAGTCAGCATTCGGAGTCCGCATTCGGGTAGAGATAATACCTGGAATTAGGGATACGCACTCGAAGCATAGAAATACGCATTTAGGGACGAGGGAGGGTTGCTCAGGGTGAAAACGTCACCTTCAGAGAGAAAGTGCGTGGTCTGTTAACCGTGAAGATGAAGAGCTCGAAGACCTAGTCGTACAGAGGTACGACAACCTTATCCTTCCTCTGACAGGCTGTGAATCAAGGGGATGGAAGCACTGGGTACTACTTACTTTGCACTCGTCCCGTCTTTTTCTTTCGAGCTTTCTCCTTCGTTTTCGTTCGTCGGGCTCGCCGTCGCGGCGGCCCGTCGAAGAGAGGGAATGTCTTCTGATTCGTCGTTTCTATATGCGGCGTCGCGATTAACGCCGCTCTGATCCATGGCTTCCGGTCCCGAAGCGTCAGCCGCTCCTGCCGCGTCGGAATGGCGGCGATCCTCAGCGCAGTCCGCGGTAGATCCGGGTGACCGCATAGTGGAAAACTCTACTGTGGTATATCCCCAAGGACAGCTTGGCGTTTCAGTTGTGGATGCATCAGGATGTGCGGGGGTTGGAGCAACAACTCCCTGGGAAAGCTGGAGATGAAGTGGTGCTGCGTGGAGATGTTTGAAATGGGGTGGTGGAAGGAACTAAGAATCTGGAGACACTTTCGAGGGGCCTCGGGATTACGTCACACAAATATATCGAGGCGAACCCACAAAACCACCTTGAAGTTTGTGTGTGGCGGTACGCGGCCTCTTCAACCGAACCTCTACTCTCCCGCCAAAATATGAGTGTTTGGTTCGGTGGCTGGTTCGGACAGCGCTAGACTAGAAAATGCTCCTTACCCGCTAACTGGGGCAAATCCTTCTTCGCTGCCCTTGGTTTTTGTCCCAGTTGCAAATTCAATTCTTGCCTTCCCATGCCGTGCCACTTGTTCGTCACGAGCTGCCGCGCTGCCATGGGTGGTCCCCGCTTTGGGTTGCATTGGCCTGACGCTGTTGTGCAAACGAGAATGACAAGAATTAGACGCGGAACGCGGTTTGAGATTTGGTTTGGCTTGGGACCAGGGCTTACGCTAGTCCCTATGGAGTTTCGGAGGGTCCCAAGATGGGGCCCAGAATTACCCAAACTTTTCCGGATCCCAAGGAAATTTCGCCCAGAATCCTTCCGATTTCTCGACATAGCAACCATGCCAAAGGTCAACTCATCTCCCCTGATGTCTGCAGAGAACATGGCTAGGCTGATTGGCGAAGTTCTGAAATCGTCCAAGTACCTTTCGTGATTCGTGACGTGAGAATCTTCGCCACCACGCAGTGGAATGGAAGTTCTCCTCACAGAGCTCCATGCTACGAGACATTTGTCAGGATTCAAGAAAAAAGTACATGGAATAGAACAGGATTTCAAAGAGAATTCAGAAGGAAACATTCAGAGTTTCGGCAAATCCCAGCCTGTTAAAATCCAGGATCGGGGATTGAATAACTCTTAATTTCTTGACATTAAGGGTATCTACCCTTCTAGCGTAAGCTCTGCTTGGGACCAACACGCTCCACTCAGTGGAATGAGGGCGCATCCTACGTCGTGTCATCTGTGGGTGTCATTGTGCCGCGGGGCAGATCGGGTATCTTCCGAGATCGTCGGGGTGTCTTCCGAAGCTGACGGAATGTCAGGCATTGCGTTGGATGTGCGAATATATATGTGTCGCGTGTCGACGCCAGAACGTTCAAGCGACCCCAAAATGCGTTAACGATATTTTGTTGCCCTTCTCACGAACAACTATTGCCCTTCACGAAACATTCCATTACTAGGCTGGAATTCGCAGACTCGTAAAGAACGCGCCGCGGCACACGCAACCCTCTGAACGAAGTCACGCCCACTTTGACGGAATTATCGTTGTCGCCCGTTACCGTTTGCGAAAATCGCCTTCTCGCTTGACTAAACAGGTCATTATTCTCAGTCAAGGCTGGCACCTTCCATCGTCGACACTGGTAAAACATTGCGTCTGACACCGTCGGATGACACGACGTAGGGATCCCTCCTGAGAAGCGTATATTTACTGGATTCACCCCTCGAAAACCAGAGCTTCTTCCTGTACACTTTTTGCCCTGGTGGTCCAGGGTTTCCCTACTTTGGCCGATTCTTAGGGGTTGCGTCGAAACCTGACGTTCGGGGTTTTGACGTTAGGTTACCGAGGTGTAAACATTTCAACCGTTCTGAAAAGTTGAAAAGCATCAGGTACCACGACGTCCCAGTTTCAATTTTAACACCCCCTTAGTGTTACTGTACCCGGATTATGTAGGGTGGCTCAAACCAAATGACACGCGACCTGACCTGAGCTGGCAAGGCCAGCAATGTAGGGGATCTGCGATTCACACGTCGTTTGAATCATGACCCTATGATGGATGTCCTAGTAGACCGCTGCTCGCACGCGCACTCAGACCGCGAGAATCCCCATTCTTGTGGGAATCAGCGTCGGTGCTTACTTCCTCGGATGGAAGCAATTTTGTCCAATACACAGTTACCCTGTGGGTGACCACCTGAATTACCTCGGTGTACCGTTTTGGCAGCTCTGGCGAACAAAACTTGACATCCCACTTTGGACACGCCCTGCTCTGCTTGTGTTGGGGTATTGGGACTGGTTGGTTGAGAGGGAGGCGTGCGAAGGGGCGACAGGCCTTCTCACCCTGGCCTTCCAGGTCAGGTGAGTTTATGAGGCGCTCTCCGCCAGGGTCAGGCTTCGCAAGTGGCACCTCGACATCAAGCTCTACAGGGTTTTACGGTCTGAACTTTGAGCCTAGAATTGGTTCCGATTTGTAGGGAATGGTAGCTTGAATTCGGAGGGCTTACTTGACACTAAGCTCGACACGAGCTAAGAACACTTCCTGAGATGGTTGGGTGGTTATGGCATCCCGCGAAAGGGAGGAGCTTCAATTCAATGCATCCGGGGACCAAGGTCAGGCAAGAATGGACAAACGAAAAGCCCCCCATGCAGGCTGGGACCAAGGTCATGCAAGTGACGGCGGTCACCTCAAGTGGCAACCGGCCCTTCGACGTGGACAGCAGGAATGGACAAGCTCGGCAGCAGACCTGCTCATAGTGTAAGACGGTAAAGTTAGAAATCATGGTGTTAGTGATATGGATAGATTTTCAATAAAATTTCATGCATGATCTAATCGGCCCAATCGGCCCCGTCGGCCCCGCTGCCCAATCGGCCCCGTCGGCCCCGCCTCCTAGCTGGCCCCGCCGTCTGTTCGGTCTCGTCGACCCCGCCTCCTAGCTGGCCCCGCCGCCCAATCGGCCCCGTCGACCCCGCCTCCTAGCTGGCCCTGCCGCCCAATTGGCCCCGTCGGCCCCGCCTCCTAGCTGGCCCCGCCGCCCAATCGGCCCCGTCGACCCCGCCTCCTAGCTGGCCCCGTCGCCTCTCCAGCCTCGTCGCCCAGTCGGCTTCGTCTCCCTGCCGGCCCCACCTCCTAGCCGACCTCGATGCCTAGTAGGCCACGTCGCCCGATCGGCCCCGTCCCCTTGCCGGCCCCGTCGCCTAGCCGGCCCCGTCGCCTAGCCGGCCCCGTCGCCTTGCCGCCCGCGGCCCCGTCTCCTAGACGCCTCGCCTCCGTCCTCGGCCCTCTGCACCGCGCTGCACCGCCCGATACTGCTCTGCACCATACTGCACCGCATTGCATCATTCTGCACTGCACTGCACCGCGCTGCACCGCACCCTACCGTACTGTGTTTCGATGGCGGACTCGGTCATGTGTTTCGATGCGGAGGGGCAGTCGATTGAGTTCGACTCGTGACTCGTCGACCTCCAGCGCCACCTGACTGGCCAGCGGCAAGACGGCCACTCCCTGGCCGTCCACATCGACGGTACGCTTCCCTCCCCGGACCCCCCTGCTGCCCTCCCCACTGACCCCACATCTGCTGACCGTTAGTCCGCTGCAGCTGCTACCCTTGCTCGTGCTATTTGGTTGTCCATGACGCTGTCGCACTGCTTGCGATTCGTCATGCCCTTCCCCTCTCCGAGTGCCCCTGGCTTTAGGTTAGTCAGGACTACGCAGGAGTTCCTAGAGCTGTTGTTGCGCGCTATTCCACCCCGCCCTCTGCCTACATAGGTCGCCTGATCCTGCCCATGCTCTTTCCTGACGTTGCGTCTTTCCCCACTATCGCTGACCTAGCCGCCCACCTGCGCACGCTAGACAAGACATGGCACGCTCCCTGCACTGAGGCCCAGTTTCGTGTGTTTCAGCCCCCCATCTGCTCTACCCTCTACCTGCTTGTCACCCGCCTCCCTCACCGCCTTGCCACCACCCGCGATCACATTCTTAGTCTCCACCCCGCAGAACTCACCCTCACTGACTTTGTCGATACATTGTCTGCCATAGAGACTCGCCAGCGCTCTATCGCCCAGTCTAGCGGTACTGTGCCAGTCTCTATCTTTCAGGGCTGTTCCCCTGCTCAGTGCTCTTACTCCGAAGGTTCTGCTGTGATTGCTGAGACAGCGTCGACTATGGAGACCGCCGCCGTAGTGTAGTTTCGTCCGGGTAAGGATCGCCGCCCCAAGGCTGGGCGCGGCGGAGGTAGCGGAGGAGGGGATGGTGCCGGTGGTGGAGTTGGCTCGCCCGCTGGTAGTACTGACGAGGGGGCTGGGGCTGGTGCCCCGGAGTAGCAGCCTCAGCAGCAGCAGCAGCAGCAGCAGCAAGCGCAGCAGCGGAGGGTCGGCCGCCTCCCGCCCGGGTGGCAAGTACTGACGGTGGTCGCAGTAGTCGCTCACGCTGTGTGCCGCCGGGTGGTGGTCAGAGTGATGGGCGCTGCCAGTACCAGCTCTAGACCGGTTCTCGCCATGGCCTCGTGTGCAGTAAGATCGCCATACCCCCACTCGTTGCTTTCGTCGTCTAGACAACCTGTTCCGTCTCCGCTTCGGCTCGTCACCTAACCTCCCCGACTGGCACAGACTGCTCCATCGTGGTGTTCAGATCTTTAATATGGACATGGATGCGATTAGCTCTACTTTGTATGTCTGTATGTTGATAACTCTAGTGTGACTGGTTCTTATTACCTTGTGTTGCCTAGCGTAGGTGTGCCCAGTGTACCTAGTTCAGACTCCCTTGCTATGTCACGCATATGATCCTCTGACTTGTTAAGCCTTGGGTCCTCCCTTGCTCCTCCGACCTCTGTTGCCGCTGCCGCGCTCTCCTTCACCTTGGACTCCGAAGCTTCCCGGTGTTTCTTTCGCGACTCCACAACCCTTAAGCCGCTTCCCGCTCCTGCTGCAACTGCTCTTGCAGACCCTTCCTCCGGTCATGTAGTTGCCCGTAGCTCCACTACTCTCCCATGTCCGGCAGTTCCCTCAGGCTCCCTTACAGGCCTGCACATCCCCTCATTCTCTAGGAACCTAGTTGGTGTCGGATGCCTCCAGGACCTTGGCGTCACCACAACGTTCCCTGGGCACGAGCGGTACGCTGTCTGTACCGAGGCCGCCACCGGTGCCCCCCTCACCACGTTCACCCGTGACCCGGTGTCTGGCCTGTTCACACTAGACACCGCGTCCCCCCCGGTCTGGACACCTCCCCATGTACCAGTGTCTTCCCAGGTTGCTGCGGCGTGCTCGTGTCGGTCACTTACTCACCTGTCGCTTCTGTGCCACCACCGTCTAGGTCACCCCGCCCTCA